TCCATCTTCGTTTCATTCCGAACCACTATTCCATCTGAGCAGGGGAGATTTAACCTTGGCAAATGTGAAACTGTTCCATTTTCTCGGCCAGCCGATTGCAAGGAAATGTATGTGGGGCTGTGGTGCCAGGGACAGAGGGGACCCCAGTCATCTTCCCGGGCAGATGTGCTCGAGATGGTGCTCACCTCTTCGGTCCTGTCACTAACGCTCTTTTGGGGCTGGCAGCTCTCGGTATTTCTTCACCTTACTTAGGGGCACAAAAATATCTTCACTGCTTCTCAGGCTCTGTCTGTCAGACCATCTGCAGTCCATCTGCCTATCTGTCCAGATGCGACAAGCCAGCATTGCCTCCAGCATCACGCTCCCCAGCCAAGGCTCATCCCAGGTGGCGGGCTTCAGGTGCCTCACTCTGCACCCCTGTGCCTTACCCCCTCCACATCCTCCCTGCTAGCCCCCACCTCCCAGTCGGGGGTGACATTTTCTTGTCTGCGGGAAGCCAGATTTTTCTTCTTCTACTTTTCCCCAAATGCGGATCCATACCCAGATCTTCCCCAGCCTCCGAAGGGTTTAGGCTTCTGGAAGCAAAAGAAACTCAGCTTTAAGCTCCATCTGCTCATCTCCTTGTCACAACCCTCCCTGTGGCAATGAGCACAAGCCAGATATGTGTCTAAATGGAGGGTAAGATGAGAGAAATACTTGGGAAAAATCAAAAGAATAGAGGCTAAGGTCTCAAACATACTATCCTGCCACTTAAGTATTAACTAAAATAGCACATGAAAGAACTTGTCATATTTTAAGGGCCTAACAGATGATGGCCATTATTTTTTCCCTCTGATCCGTTGGACACCACATCTGTATCATTTCTTTGGATATCAATCATGCCCTGCCTTAGACCGTCTATTATACTGGCAATTTACTCATGTTTTTATTTCCCCAGTGTCTATACTTTATTCTCCCAACTAAGTATAAGTTCTTAGAGAGAATGAACTACATCTTATAATTAACTCAATCTAACAGAAGGCTAGGCATTCAGCAAACACTTTAAAAATGTGTGCAGAGCTAGCCTCAGGAACCCAAAATCACATTCGCAAACATGTAGAGAAAGTTCTTTGTATAAGAAATCAGGTTATGTTGTTTTTTCTTAAAGTAATTCATGACCATGTTTGGGTCTAAATGTTAACAGAGGAGCCATGTGGTTTACTAAGATATTAAAAAGAAAGAGACTTTCAGTGTATCTATTATTTTTTAAATCCTGCATCACAGCCACTCCTGAGTGCAAATAGATTTCAAATTTTATACCGGCCTCCTATTGCAAAGTGCTAATTGAATCAATTTCCTGGAGCTGCATCACTAATACACAGAGTGCACCACAGATCTGGGATTCTTGCATCAAAAATACTAAACATGAATGTTTTGTGGAGAAAAAAATGGTGTGTAGGAAAATGCCTTAGCGCCCAAGAAAGTCGCAAAGTTTGGTCTCTGAACGCAGAGCTGCAGAGTGAGCCCTTGAGGGGGTCTAGATGACAGACCACAGAGGGCCCGCTCCCAGCCTCACTCTGGATGGGCCTGGCCAGTACACCGGGATGCGCCAGCTGGCCCCATGCATGGCCGAATGTACGCACACCGGAGGGGCACACACTTCACCCCTTCCTACTTGTGTGGCCTTGGGCCACTTACTACTGAGAGGTCTGAGTTGGCTTAACTGTAACTACAGAATGAGTACCTCCCTCCCAAGAGTTTGGTGAAGGTTCAGTAAGATGATTATGAATGGGGGGGACTGCACACCGTGTTGGAGACATAGTTCAATTCATACCCAGAAAATGATTGTTGCTGTATCTGCTGCTCTCTGGGGACACAGGGTGGACAAAGCAGAGAAGAGACAACCATCCGAGTGCCCTGGGGAGTGGCAGCTCTTCCATTTGTACCCATGCTCACACGTTTCTTTGTGCAGATCAATGGAAGTGCCCGTCTGTGAGGGCAGGAACATGTCAATGGCATTGAGGAGCACTTTACCCAAGGGGGCTTTGAGGGCCACGATCAGGAGGTCCCCGATGGGTTTGCCCAACACTCTCAAGGCATTGCCGTGTCATGGCATTCCCCAAAGACACATCTGTTTAGAGTTCTCTGTGGACTGAGTACTTTGATAGAACCTTCTCCAAAGTGAAATGTGAAAATGTTTCATTTCCAAAGTGAAAATGTTTTTGATGGCAGATAAGAACAACATGAGTCAAAATGGCTTAAAGGTGGGTGATTGGCTCCCCCAGCTGAGGACGCCCTGTGGTAGAGTGGTGAGGAGGTCTACTTGGGCCTCTGCTAGGACTGTCCCAGCTCTGCCTGCCTTCATGTGTCACCTTTGTTGTCCTTGGCCTGCTTACAAGATGGCAGCAGCAGCCCTAAGCCTTCCTTCTTCACACCACCATCTCCAGGGTAGAGAGCAGGAGTAGGTTCCAGAAACTTTCTGGATAGAAAAGGGAAGCTCTTTTCCCAAAGGCTGCCAATTAATTCCTCCTCTCCTCTCATTGGCCTGAATTTGGTCTTATGATTACTCCTGGGCCAGCCTCTGTGGCTTAGTGGATGCAGGTACCAATCGGCTTCATTGGATGCCGACACCTGACTGAGCCACTGGAGCAAGGGGAAGAGGAAAACCTGAGTAGCTGTGACTAAATAGAATCCATCCCTGGAATTCAAGTCAACTGCCCCGAACCTCTGGGCTGCCGCTACAAGAGGGCAGAGGGGAGATGGATGTTGGAGAGACCCCACAATGTCCACTACTCTGCTGGCATTAATCCGCCACCTCTTTCAGTTCAAGAAACAGTTATGAAATGTCTGCTGTGTGCCAGGCAGGGGGCAGGATGCTGGGACCACACGGGGCAACTGTGCTGTTGAAAGGAATAAATGAGCCAACTTACGCAAAGTGCCTGTTGCAACCCTCGGCCCTTAATACCTGCTCAGTATCATCTTCATTAAAATGAATAATGCATGAGTGCTCCCTGCCATCCAGGAGACTTAAACAAATACATTCTAGCAGTGTGCAAAGGCTAGCAAGAGTAAGCTGGCGGGTGGCGTGAAGGAGAGAGATCGCACAGCAGTGTGCAGAAGGCCCATCCTAAGAAGCTTAGAGCCAGGGATTCCTAACCTTGACTTCACATTCAGCGCACCTGAGGAGCTTCTGAAGCTCTTCACCCCAACTCAGCCATAATCTCTCAAGGTGGGACCCAGCACCAGAATCAACTTGACTTTTTAAAGATCCTCAGATGATTAAAATGTGCAGCCAAGGTTGAGAACCACAGTGATAGGCTATTGAGGACATAAACCCCACATATGTAAGCCATTAGCAACGTGGGATTCTGAGGGTGTGATTGGATGAAGTCAGTGCTCCAAGGCTCAGGAGAGGACGTGGTGGGCAGGGGGGCTCTGGCCAGGGAGGGGGGACGGTAGACCAGGTGACCCATGAGAGGCTTCTGTGTGCAAACCGGGACAGAGAGCTTACGGGGCCTTGAAGGACCATGGCATTTGCCTAACCTAAGCCGTTTGGAGGTGGTGTCTAAGCGTAAAGAGGAACAGGTAGAGCAAGGTGTGCATGCCAACACAGGGTATTGGTGTGGACTCAGTCACCAGAGAAAAACCACACCACAATTTCAGTGGATAAATATAAAGAATTATTAACCATAATAGAGAACTGGAATCACAAGGATTCGCTACTGAGAAGTAGAACTCTCAAGAATATGGGAACGCAGGTATTAGGAGCATCTACTACCCCAGGGCTGAGGTAGAGTGACCCGGGGAGAGCCCTCTGCCCCCTCCAGCTGAGGTCCAGGCTCTGCTGGCACAGAGAAGTCACTGTGGGGTCACTCTAGTAGAAATGGTCAGAAATTGGCCCTCCGGCGTGCTGTCTCACTGCAGCACACTTCGCTAGGGATGCATTTCAGGAGACCCAGGGACCAAAACCCAGAATTGTCCCCTGCAAGCCAGCAGAGGCTCAGAGTTTACCAAACCTTCCCAGGGAGTTAGCAAAACTGGAGTTCAACCCACATCCCGCTACCTACGTCCTGCTACGTCTCTGAACAGACAGAAGTGCGAGATCAAGGCTAGTGTCGGTGTAGGCTGCTCAGAGAGAAGGGGCCCATGTTCCGTGAAGGCTGTGGGAAGGCCTCCTAGAAGTGGTGAGGGTTCAAACGGACCTTGAGGGAGCTTTTACTTTAGAGACGTGGAGAAAGCCAGGGAGGGAGGAGGAGGAGAGGCCTTGACACGAGCAGCACTGAACGGTTTCGTGTGAAGAGCAGGCCGGCGCTCAGATAGGCCTTGGCTCAGCCCACAGAACAGTGGAAACCAAGAAGTAGGCGATGAGAAGAGAGGCAGAGGCAGAACAGAATCCGGGAACTTGAATTTAAGTGGGTCCGAAATCAGTTCATTGCAAGAGAGCCAGGCCTGTGGATGGAGGGCTCGGGGACTCCTCGGCGGCCTGCCAACCCCTCCGTGGAATGTCGGGAAGCGAGCGCTGGCTTTGGAGTCAGACCGGGACCAGAGGACCAGCTCCGGTGTCGGCTGTGCATCCTGGGGCCAGTCCCTCAGCCTTTCTGAGCCTCAGGAGTCTGCAGGTGTGAGCGGGAAACAAGGACCCTTTCTTTGCAGGCTTGCTCAGATGGGGTCCCTAGCTGAGAGCCGGGCGCACAGCAGGCCTCCTGTCAGTGGCAGCCTCCCTCTCCTTCCCGTTCTTTCTCTCTAGGTCCTTTCTTCTAAAGCAGGTCATGCCTCTGAAAGCCCCTGCTTCAAGTTGAAGAATTCCAGCTTTTCTAAGTCGGGTGCAGCTGGGGGGCACCGAGGTCTTGGCCGCAGATGATATCCTCCTGTTGAGAGTATGGCCGCTGAGCTTACTGCTCTGGGTAAAGGCTCAGGTTGAGGGGACACAGCCAGTGTGTCCTTGGTCCCCCGGCCAGATCGTGGGTGTTCCACACCCAACCTCCACAGGGCAAATGACCCGGTGCTGCTTTCGCTTCTAGGAGGAGAAGTCACCAAACCACGGTTTGCTCAGTTCTTCCACGGCAGCCTGGCCAGTCTCACCATCCGCCCCGGCAAAATGGAGAGTCAGAAGGTGATCTCCTGCCTGCAGGCCTGCAAGGAGGGACTGGATATCAATTCCCTGGAAAGCCTCGGCCAAGGCATAAAGGTAAGGAAGGAGCCAGTGTCGCCACCAGTAACACATTGACTTGTGGGGCAGAGGCTGCCCAGGGCCAGCGCACTCTGGAAAGGGAGTCCCCACCTGTCGAGTTGCACAGAGATGGTGCGGCGGGGGGTGAGGGGCCGTGACTGCCGTGGTGGACTTCTGTGTCGTGAGATTTCCTAGATGAAGCCCTTGTGCATAATCGGCTCATTACACAAAAGCAGACACGTGTCCCGTGTCTACCAGAAGGGGATGGTTGTATTTTGGCTGTTCTGGGTTGGGTGGTTGCTTTGTTGTTTGTTTGCCAAAGGAACAGAAGCAGCATGTGAGAAGAAATTTCAAAAAAATATTTAAAAATAGAATGAAAAGTTTGGCCATGTTAAATATAAATTAGGAAGGCAGGTCATCCCGGGGGGGCTGGAATTAGCAGATATGGAGGTCACTGGGTCTCATGTCATGAAATTGAAGCACAGGTTGGGCTTCGAGCAATCTCTGGAAGAGGGAATGTGAGCAGATTCGTGCAAAATAAAAACATTCATGTGATGCGAAAGAATCAAAGCTGTGTTCTGAAAAAGGTACCTCCTGAGGGGCGGGACACGCATAGCTAAAGGTCCTCAGTGAGCACCCGGCCAGGTCACCCCACCCCCACCCGGCAGGGAGCCTGCAGGCCTCACCTGGCCCCTGGGCGCTCCTGCCAGCAGGGAGCCTCTGGGAACCTGAGCAAAGAGCTGGCTAAATATCACTGCACCCCGGCTCGGTCCTAACGGACCCCAGAGAGAGTAGACAGGCCAGCCCCACGGCCTGGAATTTTCCTTTATGGGCCATTTCTCAAGGCTGGTGTGACCAGAGCAGAGGCTGCCCGCTTCACCCCTCACCTACCGTCTCCTCCGTGCCTCCTACCCTGGGCCTACCCGGCCTGTACAGGGAGTCCCCCCTCCCAAAGACAGCACCTTTATTTTTGCTGCCAGGGGAGCCTGTGAGGCTCTGACATGGGGAGCCATGGAGGGGCTGGTGATCTGAGCACATCATGTTTTTCTTTAAGCCGTAGTCACTTCAGCAAACATGCCACGGACACCCGGGTATTGGTTCTGGGCTGGATGGGGGGAGACCCAAAGCTGAACATTCCCAGCCTTTTATCTTCAGGGAAGTCAGTGGCCCAAGCTGATGTTTGTAATCCAGGCTGGTAAGCTGCGATAACGAGGAGCACGAGGCTCCCCCAAGTGCCAGACACAGCTCTAAGTGCTTTGTGGGTACTAACTTATTCAATACCAGAAGAACCCTAGGACAAAGCTACCATAAATGTTCCTATTTCACACATAAGGAATTGAGGACTTTAAGAGAACAGAAACTTGTCTGAGATCCCAGAACTGGTAATGAGCGGAGCCAGAATTTGAACCCCAGGTGGTCTTGCTCCGGAGTTCCAGAACCTGAGGAGCAGCAGTTGGGAAAGGCTCCTTGGAGGAGGTGGGGTCTGAGCAGCATGTTTCAGGATGAGGAGGAATCAAGCAGGAGAAAGGCAGGGGGAGGGGAGCTGGGTGGTCACTCTAAGCAGATCTGAGAGCATGGATGATGGCAGGGGGCTGGGGTGCCCCACAGCGTGCACTGGGACTCCAAGAAGGAGTTACATGTCCCAAATTGTTAGAGTGCCCATATGGTAGGAATGAAGGTAGAAGTGTGGTCCCCTAAGCATAGGCTGTGTCATGAGGCCCAGTGAACTGTGTTCAGGTGTTTACATGTTTTCTCCGGTGGGCCCCAGGGGGCCACTGAAGGACTCTAGGCAGAGCAGCATGATCCGGCCAGGAGCATAGTTTAGGATGCTCACCTTGGAGGCTGGGTCAGAGGGGGAAGGTGGGAGGAGTGCACAGACAGGGCAAGGCAAGAGTGGCCTTACAGAACCCTAAATAGGCAAGAACAGGTGCACTCAATAGTTGATCACCTGTCATTGAAGGAGACCTGCAAGACTGCCTCATGTTAGAAAGGACGACTCCTCACCCCCCCACCCCCATCCCTGTCTACTTCATGGCACATTTGATATTGGTACCCTCGCATGCGGAGCCTGGGGTTTGATCCTCAACCAACTGTTGGAGTCGTTTCCTTAGCATTTTGTCAGCCCAGTGATGCAGAAACCTGTCCTCCAACCCTACCCCCCTCTAATTCTGGGTTTGCTCCCCGCCTCTGAGTGGATCTGCTCTGCTCTGGAGCATCCCATGAGATCACGGCTTCAGGATTCAAGCACTACAAAACAAACAAACCAAAGATACTGCACCAAAAAGCCCCACATTCTTAGAATTCTACATTAGGAGATGCACAATCTCTACGGAGCATCCAGAGCCTATGACAAGAGGGGGTTGTAAACTACGTGGCACACAAAGCCGTGGCGGGTGCAGAGGCTCTTCCAACTTTTCAGGATACCACCTGCTGACTCCCAGTCACCGCAGAGGATCCTTCTCCATCCTTAGGCACAGCTGGCACAAACTAGCACCGCAGGAGAAGTTAATGATAAGACTCAAGTCATCGTGTACCCACCGGGGGCTATTCGAAGTTCATTATCCCTACGCCTCACAACAGATTAAATGTTATGGCCCCATTTCAGAAATAAGGAGACAGGCTCGGGAACCTGCCCAAAATAAGTCCATGCTCTTTCCTCCACACCAGCAACTCAGATGATAAGGCATTCTTGAAAATTATTCAGACTTCCTTCTCTCTTGCCCTAACTCCATTTCATATCCCTCACTTCATTTCAGAATAATGACTGTTTTTCTCCTTTCTCCTGGTTCCAGGCCTCCCCACTCCTCCCTGGCTAGTCCAGAGGAAAGTGAGGGCCTCTAATGAACAAGACTATCTATCCATCTGCTCGCAGGGCCCAGTGCAGGTTCCTCTTTTCACTCGTCTTCCCCTGGATCATGCCTATTTCTGAATATTTGTCCAGCATGTCTGGGGTCATTAAATGGTTGGGGTGGTTACTGTCTTGTACCCGTACGAGATCCTGGGATACTGTGGAATAACCACCTTCCTGAAGAATATCCTGTTCTGATTTTCATAGCATAAGGCCTGCCAATTTGTTCTTTCATAGCCCAAGAACACCTCAGCATTTTTAGAAAAGCTTGAACTTAGGTTTATTTAATCCATACTATGTGTTATGGATCATAGGGATTTCAAAGATGAAAACACATGATACCTGTCCTCAAGTAGCTCAAGGCCTGGAAGTACTTAACATAAAGTACACTAACTTAAAATGTTTAATAAAACAAGATAATCTAATAGAGAAAAGAACAAAGAACACAGAGGCAGGAACCCTTTATATGGGAGGAAGGCCAGGAGACTTTACCTAGAAGGTGACATTTGGAATGAAAGTTTTAAAGGTTGTGTATTAGTTTCCTGAGGTTGCTTTATAATATACCACAAGCTGGTTGGCTTAAATATTGGAAATTTATGAAAGAAAGAGTAAGAAAGTAAGAAAAAAAAGTCCACAGTGTTGGAGGAGTGGGAAAGAGCCAGACCTCTGAGACAAGGCACTCCTTGGTTCAAACTATACTACAAATATTTACTAGCGGGGTAACCTGGGCAAAGTAATTTAACTCTTAAGCCCCAATTCCCTCATGTATAAAGTGTATTTTGTTGTGATGCTGAGGGAATTGGATTTTATGTATATTTTATATATATCTATGTTAGGTATCTATAGATAGAGGAAAAATATGTGTATAGAGATAGATGAGATGATAGATACAGGTATAAATTTCTAGGGATCACCTTTAGCAAACCTAATAGGTTCTCAGCAAATCAGTTCCCTTCTCCTGCTGGGCTGGTCTTGCACTTGGTATTACCACTGCCCCAGCTGCTTTTGAAAGGTAAATTTGGGTGACAGTTTTGGCAGAGGAGCCTCGAATATGGCAAGTCTTCCATCTGGCTCAACCCAGAGGGGCTGGCAGGTGTCCAAGTGAATGGCAAGGTGCCTAGAGTACCATGGCCAGCCTTCCCTCGAAGAACAGCCCTGGGCTTTGGACAAGGATTTCACTGATATCCCAGCCTGGTAGGTGCTTGGTGACCCCGGCTGACCTTCTGGGATAACTGACTATTCCCAAAGGCCATCTGTCTAGCAGCTTCTCAAAGAAAGGAATCACGGTGGCCACAACACAGCTTCCCAAAGGAGTGAGTGCTGTCACCCTTTGCTGGGCCCCCAGGAAGCCATCTCTTGTCCCTGAGATAATGCTACTGCCACTGTGTCTGACACAGAGACCTACCTCAGACATGCCACAGGGCTGGGAACACCACAATTTAAAAAACGAAACAAAGAAACCTACTTTGGTGGAAGGTTTTATTGATCCTGCCAGAACTATATTGATGGCTAGGCCTGTACCCACCTTCGTGCCCTGTGGCAGCCCTCAGGATGCTCAGACGGCCAGACTAGGGTATTAACTGGAGATCCAACACATAGCCGATCCACCTTCTCCTTAGGGGGCTGTGGTGGGAATGCACCCTGTGCTGATTGCCATGATGCTGCCGATTCAACTCTCTGGAAGAACTGTTTGATTTTCTTCTTATCTATTTAAATAATCTATACACCCAACACAGGACCCTAAGTCCCAACCCCCAGATCAAGAGTCCTATGTTCTTCCAACTGAGCCAGCCAGGCATCCCATGATTTTCTTGTTTAGCCCTTGTGTGAAGGTTGGCTCAGCCTCCACTGCAGGGCCTATCATTTTGTCATGTTTCTCATGTGCTAGACCTGAGGGTAACCCTGGGAAAAAGTCCATAGACCCTGCCCTCACGGTGCTCACAGTTGCCTGGGGGAGGCAGGCAGACAGCAACAGCACCATGACTCTGCTACAGCAGGAATGGTACACGGTGGGGTTGCGAGGCCGTAGGGAGGCAGAAAGACGTGGGAACATAGGTGGTATTTCAGAAGAATGAACTTGAATCTGCTCAAATCTGAAGTGGATGATTTGTGCAACACTCAGGGCACCTCTATGGCTGAGCCCACTCAGCTAGTGAGTCCTCCACAGCAACGGAGAGCCAACTCAGAGCGTGACTGTGACATCACCTGCACATATATCTGGGGACTCCCAAACCCAAAAGAGGGATTGGTGCTTGTGAGCAGACCTTCCAGACCACAGAGATCCTGCTCGGGGCATTGAAAGACTAGCAGTGAAGGCAGCAGTACCTGTGTGGGCAGAGACTCCATTTAGAAATAATTACAACGCTAAGAATTATAATAAAATCTATCTTGGACTAAACACCCTTTAAGTACTAGATTCATGATATACGTTATCTCATTTAAGCCCCCAGACAGCTAGATATTAACATCCCCATTATTTTCTTTTTTTTTTTTTAAGATTTTATTCATGAGAGACACATAGAGAGGCAGAGACCCAGACAGAGGAGAAGCAGGCTCCATGCAGGGAGCCGGATGTGAGACCTGATCCCTGGACCCCAGGATCATGCCCTAGGCCAAAGGCAGGTGCCGAACCGCTGAGCCACCCAGGGATCCCCTATCCCCATTATTTTCAATGAGGAAATAAAGTCCAGAAAGGGGAAGTAAATTGTCCAAAGTTGTATTTCATAGTCCGTCCTAGAACTGGGGTACTGCAATCCACGCAGCCCACGATCTTTCCAAGTTGCCACAGAGCCTTAGGTGAGAATCCTGCCTGGGAAGGGTACAATTTTTCCAGATAGGCTAAAATATTGCAGTAACAAATAACACCAAGATCCCCATGGCTTAATGATTAAAATTTTATTATTCTCTCATGTCAAACCAGGGAGGTGGAGTGGGGTTTCTGCTTGGAATGCCACAGCCACCAGAGAGGAGGAAGAAAACAGCTGGAGCATCTGCAGGGTCCTTCATGGACTCAGCCCAGAAGCCCTGCCCCACTCCCTCTCACACCTCATTGGCCAGATGCAGTCACATGGCCCACCCATACATGGCAGGTGGCTGATGCCAAAGGTAGCCTCCAGGATGCAAAGGAGAGCCAGGGGTTAGTGACCACTGATGATAACTCCCACAGAGACTTAACTGAAAAGAGAGTGACTAAAAAAGTCTTTTTGGGAGTAACCCTGAGATGATACTGAGTACAGTGTGGGCCAAGGGGGAACATTAACTCATTCATCTAATGGGATTACAAGGCACTAGGGCTACGTTCTGAGATTCAGAGATAAGAAGTGGCACCCCTGTCCTCAGTGAACTGATGGTTCCTGTACTGTAATCATTATATTACCATTTCATAAACACTATAGGAACCCAGTGGGAACCTAAATGAGGGAAGCTGGGGCGGCCTCGAGGAGGTAACAGTAAAACAAATGATAGTTGAAGGAGGCAAAGATTTAAGTTCTCAGTTGCCTAGGGGCCACATTACAGGGACCTTACATGGGTCATATCAACAGTGGTACTCATGGGACACCCAGTTCCTTTTAGAGTCCAGGCTCAGAACGGAGAGCTCTTAAAAAGACAACCAAGTCCTATCAGGGAAAAGTTAATATAGATAGATTTTTCCTTCCACTCATAATAACATACTCCATCTCCTTCGTAGCAAGAGAAATGTAAATTAAAAATACACTAAGGTAGCATTTATCACCTATCAGACTAGCAAAAATCCCAAACTACAGCATATTCTTTTGAAGTTTTGTGAAAAGAAGCATTCCTATACACTGTGAGAGGGAGTGTATATTAATATATTCCCTACCAATGGGGAATCAGGCAACATTTGTCAAAATTTAAAGTGCACATACTCTTGGACCTAACAATTTCACACACAGGGATTTATCCAATAGATATATATTTGCACATATGAAATGTGTACATGATTATTCATTGTGGCATTATTAGTAAAAGACTGAAAATAATCCAAGTGTCCATAAAAAATTGGTTAAATAAATTATTTACACAGTAGAATATAACACAGCTGTAAAAAGGAGGAAACTTATGATGTGCTAATACAGAACAATCTCTAAGATATGAGCTAAGGAAAAAAAAGCAAAGTACAATAAAGTACGTGAAATGCTATCATTGGTGGAAGAAAGAAAAAGGAACTCTATATTCGTAAGACTGCTGAAGTATAACTTTCAGGATAGGCTAGATGATGCTGCAGTAACAAGTGACTTAAACATCTCAGTGGATTACACACCTTTTTTTTTTTTTTTTTTTTTTTTTTACTGTTCACAACCAATGTCCATTGTAGATTGGCTTCAGCTCTGATCCACATACCACCATACTGGGAGACCCAGGCTAATGGAACAGGCCCTAAGGGAACTTGGCAGGTTTCATGGCAGAGGGAAAGGGATATTGAAAAACATGCACTGGTTGTGAAATCTTCTTCATGATTGTGAACCAAATAATATTTCTGGCCACCTTTCATTAGCTGAGGAAGTCACATGACCACTACTGAGTGCAGCAGGGCAAAAGTATATCTTGCAGGGAAGAGCTCCATATGTCACATAGTCAAGCCTATAGACAATAGGACAGGCATGTATAAGCCTCCCACTGGGAGGGGAAACAACTAATTATAAACAGTAATGCAACCTGGAACTAAGAAATTAATACTCGTGGGATGAGATATTGGAAACTGGGTAGATAGGATGGGCACTTTCACTTTGTGTGTGTGTGTGTGTGTGTATAGAGTTACGTGAACATATTATGCATAAGAAGTGTTGCCAAGTAGCTACGTAAAAATATATCCAGATCAGGGGTGCCTGGCTTGCTCAGTTGGAAGAGAACATGACTGTTGACTCAGCTGGGATGTAATTTCGAGTCCCATATTGAGTATAAAGATAATTATATATATCCAGATTTTTTTCCTGTGGCATGAACTCCAGATACATCACCTGAATGCACTGATAAGCTCCTGACATCTTACTGATAATAAATCCTGCTCAGAAGCATGTGAGGATCAGCAAGTCCAACCAGTACCATGGCAGTGCTCCATGCTCCACACTCCATGCAAGGAAGAGTAACTGCCAGGGCTTTGCAGGGAGAAGCAGGAGTCTGTATCTGGTTTATCCAATTTGAGGACTCAAGTGACTTGGTGGGGAGCATCACAGCCCCCAGACCTTCACCAAGTGTAGGATATTAGGGACTCTGGGTGGAATGGATAGATAATGGACCTGGGACAGCTGACAGGGGTGTACACAGCAAATGAGCAAAACTCATGGGTAAGCAGAGTAAAGCACCAGGGAAGCAAAATAAGGAGTGAGATCTGAGAGAGGAGGGCCGTTAACTGAAGGATGAGCTTTAAGGTTGCAAGCCAAGAAGACAGCATGGATCAGGAAAGAGAGCACAGGGTGAACTGAGGAACGTTCAAGGCCAAAGACAGGACCAGTGAAAGGAGCCAAAGCCCAAGTGTCTAGGCAGCCAGCGGAGGGGGCAGGCTGTCCAAGGACTGAAAGACCCATCAGGACCCCACAGCGGCACAGAGCAGGGGCCACCCTGCCAAGGGCTGGACCGCAAGAGCCCTGTGACAGGGATTCAGAATCCCATCCTGCGTTTATAACTCCCAGGGATCTTACAGGGGAGACCTGGAAGCCCCCCAGGGGTAGCAGGAATTGCTTAAGGGGCTAAAACAGTCACCTGTGTGCGTGGCTGCTGCACTGGCCTACACTCTGGAGACACTGGGCCTTCGTGGCCTGTCCATGGAGATGGTGGGCTTTGTTGTTGATCATGCCCCCCCATGACACCCCCTTTCTTCCTCCAGTACCACTTCAACCCCTCGCAGTCCATCCTGGTGATGGAAGGTGACGACATTGGGAACATCAATCGCGCCCTCCAGAAGGTGTCCTACATCAACTCCAGGCAGTTCCCGACAGCGGGCGTGCGGCGCCTGAGAGTCTCTTCCAAAGTCCAGTGAGTAGACACACTCGGGTCAGCCAGGGGCCCAGAGAGGCAGCAGAGAGGGCCCCTGGGGAATGTTCCCTGGCAAAACAGAACTCATCTTTCTTCAGCTATTCGCAGTTTCTCTGCCATCCCTAGGAAGGTGCCCCAATGGATCTGTGTTGTCTTCTTTAATGTGCTGTTGCTTTGCCAACACATATCGAGCTCTCTCTAATTCAGAATGTGATGTACCGCTTCCTGTAAATGCTCAGTTCAGTTTTAAGTGGTCTGATTTAAGGTTACAGTAACTGGTACATAGTAGGTGTACCTTGACAAATGTTTATTAAATTGGATTAAATCAACCAACCCAGCTTTGCAGAGCAACTAAATACTACAGGTATGCAAGAAAAAGAGAGGGTGTGAAAAAAAAAGAAAGAAAAAGAGAGGGTGTGGTTCTTGTCCCAAGGGATCAGAGTTCAGTAACAGAGATGAGACCATTTATTAGTGAAGCCTGTGGATCCCGCCCTTCTTGGTCTGTCAAGTCATTTCTCAGCCACAGCCACTGCCTGGTAGGGCAGCAAGGACAGGACCCCAGAAAAACTCCAGGGAGGGGGAGATACCTAGCCCCTGGAACAAGGAAGCCGAACCCAGAAGAACAGGAACAAGGCTGGGAAAGATGGGTCTGCTGACTGCCACGTTACTGGGGCCAGAGACAGGTGCCCGGCTAAACCCCACAGGCAGCAATTAGATTCAACAGTTCTAGTGACGAGGTGCTCCCACCTTCACGCTAAGGGCACCCTTGGAGGCCTGGGATAGGGAGCAAGCACCTCCAGGTCAGCTCCACACTTCAGTCAAGTAGGGGGACCAGGCTACCGTAAACTGACAAGGGGCAGGGTGCCCTCTGGGGTTGGTACAGCAAAGGCCAGACAAAACCGGGTGCATACCACTGCTCCCACACCTCACCCACCTCCAAGAGATGGAGTGACTGAGCATGGTGTCCACCCAGACTGTGCTTCCCTCAGGAACTTTCCCAAGGGATACAAGTTGACAAATGCCAACCACTGGAGTCCACCCAGCCTACCCAGAGCATCCATCTGGGCCCCGGGGGCTCTTGTAACCTAGGTCTTTGGCCTAGAGAAGCCGCGGAGAGTGCCAGTGACTCGCATGCCTGATGGAATCTGATGAGGGTGTCAGATCTGCCAACATTTACTGAGCTCCCACCACGATGCAGGCTCTGGGGTTGGCTTCTTTGCTATATGTCATCACATTTGATCCTTAACTACTCTAAGATAATTATCAACCACATTGTATAGATGGAGAAATCAGTTCACAGGAGTCACACCTTGCCCAGGGTCACCCAAGCCCATTATGCCAGAGCCAGGCCATGGACCTTATCTGACTTGCCAGGCCTTGCTCATGGGGTCACATCATCCCACCTTCCAGGTATTTCTGTGGCAATGTATCAGGAGAAAAGAGTGTGATCAGTAGCACTCGGCTGGCACATCTGCAACAGGGGCATGGTGGGATCTCCTTGTAGAGAGACAACATATACAAGCGCAGGAGAGTTCGGCCCTGGGGTCTCAGTGAGGTGCATGTCACCAGCCGGTTAGGCAGCAATTTGCTTACCAAATCCTAATGCACATACCAAGCAGTTGCTAATTAATATTGCTGCTGATTACTATGTTAAAGGATAATTAAAGGCTTAACAGTTACTTGTTGCTTGTATAGAAGATTCCCATTTCTCCCAGAAGCCAATCTTCTTTAAGTCCCTAGATTGTTATTAGTTCTGACTATAATGTGGCTTTAAATCTGAATGTCTGTTGACACCCTCAGAGTCTCTGAGGTACCTGGCAAGGACTAGAGGTGGTTGTGTGTATCCTTGTCTATGGCCGCGTGAAGGATGCTTTTGTCGCTCACTCTTCAGCGCTGTGACCACAGCTGTTTTCCCAGGTGCTTTGGAGAGGATGTGTGCATCACTGTCCCCGACGTGGATGCCTATGTGATGGTGCTGCAGGCCATCGAGCCCCAGATCAGCCTTCGTGGCACAGACCGCCTCTGGAGACCTGCTGCCCAGTTTGAAAGTGCCCGAGGGGTGACCCTCTTCCCCGACCTCAAGATTGTGAGCACCTTCGCCAAAGCCGAGGCCCTAGGTGACCTGAAGACCACAGGTACAGATGCGTACTAGGTTGTGGGGTGGGATCGGTTCGCCCAGCCATGTCACGTGCCGCTTCAGGACAGCGGCACTGCTTACCACGGCAGGGAATTTCTAATAGCAAAGCAAACAAAGCTGCAAGCAACACAAATAACAGGAGGGAAACGAACCATTTGGCAAATAATTGGTCCACCTGCGTACGTGAGGTGATGTTGGAGGGAGAGTATTTATGTCAAATGGTAAATGAAAGAAAGCAAGATGCAAATTACAGAGGGCCCACACACACACAGGAAAATGTCAAGAAGAAAACACACCTATCGCTAGCAGTGCCATTCTCTGAGACACAGAAGAGCCAGTTTGTCTCTGCTCTCCTTCACTTTGCTGCAAATGCAAAATGTTCAATAGTAAACATGTATTATTTTGATAATTGGAAGAACAGCTAAAGAGGCACAAAGAAAAAATTCTAGCTGCACCTTAATATACACCCAGTAAAAGTCAGGTGTGATCCAGCAGCATTAGTCTCAGCTCTCAGGAAACTTTGCAACACATCTATCCTTGGGAGGGCCACCCGACGGAGGTGGAGTAGTTGAGATAATCTGCTGGGAGAGACAGTTGCATGGAAAGCTACGGTGCTCTCAGCTGTCGGAGAGGGGGGGGGTGACGGGAAGGAAGAAAGGGAAACCCAGGACTCAGATCTACAGGGGAAATACTCATTTAACCGTCCTCTGCAGCCTCCTCCAGGAGCAGACTTCCAGCTCTCCCTCCCTCCCAAAGCAGCTGCTAATGATGTGCTGGCACCAGTGGGCCTGAGTCCCTGAAGGGCTGCCCCTCTAACAGTCCTAATTACTCACTGCCTTAAACCACCATGGTCCCTAGCGAATGGGATGCCTCAAAAGGTAGCTTTTCTTAGCTCATGGTAATAGATAGTGTCTTACCAGGTGTCCCTGCCAGACAGGGCTGTTTCCTAGCGACACCCCCCACCACCACCACCAGGTACATTAGGGCCTGTGATCTTTCCCTTCCCCTCATTTGTAGAATAATCATTATTATAGATGCTTTAAGAAAGCAGGCTCATGGCATGTGCCACCAGGGCTCAGTGACCCGCCCCAGCATCATCTGCTGCCCCTACTGACCTCTTTGGAGCTGTGTCAATACCAAAGACAGGCGAGTCCCCAATGTACAACACCCCCTCACCTCTGTGTTCTCCCCTTTGCTAGTGCCCTACCCTCTGCCTAGAAGGTCCCTGTCCCTCCCCATCCATGTGACTGCTGGCAAACATCTCCACCGCCAGCTCTCTCTCCCCTAGACTGGGCTAGCTCTCCAGCTCTGTAAGCCCTCCAGTGACCGATGCTTCTGTGTCACGTCACGTGCACATTTGCTAGCCCTCGGTGGCAGTGATCTGTTAATTAAGCCAAACCAGGGGCTCCGTGAGGGCTCAACTGTGGCTGATTCACCTCTAAATGCCTGAGCCCAGCACAGTCCCTTCAGCACCGTGGGAATCAAGAGAAATACCTACAGATGGAAGACAGAACTTATAACACAGCCACAGGAGAACAAGAAAATAGGCACAGCGTGCCCCCTGCCTAGCGTGAGCAGTGAGCCAGCCACATGGGGAGGCAGGAGAGAGGCTGACCTAAACCCACCTGACAAGAAGCTGGCAAAAAACTCCAAAAACCACGCAAAGGCTATTTGAAATCCAGATACACATATGCTATCACTAATGATAGGTGTAGTTAAGTGTAGATTAACATGATTTTAGATTCTGCCAGTGAAACGTGAAGCCACTGGGATTGACAAGCATCTAACAATTAAGCATATGAAGTTATTTAGAATAATGTATATCTAGTGAGAGCAAAAAATATTTTTGGTGTCATGAAAACATTAAAATAGAAAATAATTATTTAAAATAATTCTCTTTAATAAATCCTTTTTTAATTTCTATTTTCATAAATATTTTATAGTATACAAAATATATTAGTCCACTTTATAAATAAATACGTATACATATTTAAATGATCTCAGTTCAGAAATTTTTCCCAGAAAGGCTACAAGATCAAAAACATTTGAAGACTACCAGCCCAAAGGTTATGGATTTATAAACTATGGAATCAGAAAGTCATGGCTTTTGTCTCAGCTCTTCCCCTGATATCTGTGTAAGCCTGCGCAATCCATCCTACTCCCTGGACCCTCTACTTAATTGTTGGTGAAATGGGGATAATAATAATAATACCCGATTTACTATCTATCTGTTAGGATTGTTTGCACAATGCCTGGTCCATAGCAAGCACCCCCATAAATACCAGTCAATTTTATTATTTTTTAAAATCCAGTATAGTTAACATAGTGTAATATTAGTTTCAGCTCTATAATACAGTGATTCAACACTTCACCCAAGGCTCGTTGCAACAAGTGTACTCCTTAATCCCCACCACCTATTTCACCCATCGATCTCCTTATCCACCTCCCCTCTGGTGACCATCAGTTTGTTCTCTATAATTAAAGGTATGCTTTCTGGTTTGGTTCTCTTCTTTGTTCATTTGTTCCTTAAATTCCACATATGAGTTAAATCATATGGTATTTGTCTTTGAGTACATTTCAAGATCCATCCATGTTGTTGCAGAATGACAAGATTTCATTCTTTGTTATAGTTTAATAATCCATCATGTAAATATGTATGTGTATGTGCGTGTGTATATATACATATATATGTGTATGTATGTGTGTAAATACACACACACACACACACACACACACCACTTCTTCTTTATCCAGTCATCCATCAATGGACACTTGGGCCGCTACCGTAATTTGGCTATTGTAAATAATCCTGCAATAAAAGTAGGGGTGCATAGGTCTTTTTATTTTTTTAAAAAAAAAGTTTTTATTTATTTATTTATGAGAGACACAGAGAGATATAGAGGCAGAGACACAAGCAGAGGGAGAAGCAGGCTCCATGCAAGGAGCCTGATGTGGGACTCGATCCCGGATCTCCAGGATCACGCCCTGGGATGAAGGTGGCACTAAACCACTGAGCCACTCGGGCTGCCCTGCGTAGGTCTTTTTAAATTAGTGTTTATGGATTCTTTGGGTTAATACGCAGCAGTGGAATTATGGGATCATATGATGATTTTAAATTTTTTTAGTAATCTCCATACTGTTCACAGTGGCTGCACCAGTTTCCATTTCCACCAACAGTGCATGAGGGTTCCTTTTTCTCCACATCCTCATCACTTATTGTTTCTTGTGTTTTTTATTTTATCCATTCCGACAGGTGTGAAGTGATGCCTCATTGTGACTTTGATTTTGTGTGTGTGTGTGTGTGTCTTTGATTTACATTTCCCTGATGATGATGTTGAGCACCTTCTCATGTGTCTGCAGCCATCTGTATGTCTTCTTTAGAAAAAATGTCTTTTCATGTCTTTTTTTAATTAGATTATTTGTTTTGGGGGTGTTGAGTTGTATGACTTCTTTATATATTTTGGATACCAACCCTTTATCAGATAATGTCATATGCAAATATCCTCCCCACTCAGTAAGTAATCTTTTAGTTTTGATTGCTTCCTTTGCTGTGCAAACGTCTTTTATTTGATGAAATCTCAAGTTTGTTTTTGGTTTTTGTTTCCCTTGCTTCAGGAGACATAACAAGCAAGTTTTTTTTCTATGGCCAATGTCAGAGAAATTACTGGCTGTGCTCTCTACTAGGATTGTTATGGTTTCCAGTCTCTCAGTTAGGTCTTTAATCCATGTTGAGTTTATTTTTGTATGTGGTATAAGAAGATGTTCCGGTTTTTCCAACAACATTTGTTGAAGAGACTGTCATTTTCCCATTGTACAGTCTTGTCTCCTGTTTTATAATTAATTGACTTATAAGCATGGGTTTATTTCTGGGCTCTCTACTCTGTTCTATTGATCTATGTGTCTGTTTTTGTGCCAGTACCATAGTGTTTTGATTACCACAGCTCCGCAGAATATCTCGAAATCTGGAATTGTGATGCCTCCAGTTTTGTTGTTCTTCTTCAAGATTGCTTTGGCTGTTCAGGGTCTTCTGTGATTCCATGCAAATTTTAGGATTGATTTTTATAGTTATGTGAAGAATGATGTCAGTGTTTTTTTTTAAGATTTTATTTATTCATTCAGGAGAGACAGTGAAAGGCAGAGATATAGGTAGAGGGAGAAGTAGGCTCCCCACAGGGAGCCCAACATAAGACTCGATCCCAGGACCTCAGGATCACACCCTGAGCCAAAAGCAGAGGCCCAACCACTGAGCCACCCAGGCGTCCCAAATGAGATTGTTTCTTTCTTTTTCTGCTGATTATTAGTGTATGGAAATGCAACAGATTTCTGTATATTGATTTTGTATCCTGTGACCTTACTAAATTCATTTATCAGTACTAGTTGTTTTTTGGTGGAATCTGTAGGGTTTTCTACATATAGTATTAGGTCATCTGCAAATAGTGAAAGTTTTACTTCCTCCTTACCAACTTGGATGCACTTTCTTTCTCTTTGTTGCCTAACTGCTGTGGTTACGGCTTCTAGTACTATGTTGAATAAAAGTGGTGAGAGAGGATATTCTTGTCTTGTTCCCAATCTTAGGGACAAGCTCTCAGTTTTTCACCAATGAATATGATGGAACTTGGGTTTTTCATGTGATGTAACTGTGGCCTTAATTAGGTATCTAATACTGAGGTATCTTCTCTCTAACCCTACTATCTTGAGGATTTTTTATCATGAATAGATGTTGTACTTTGTCAAATGCTTTCTTTGCATCTATTGAAATCATATGGTTTTCATCCCTTTCTCTTGTCGATGTGATGTATCACATTGATTGATTTGTGAATATTGAACCACCCTTGCATCCCAGGAATAAATCCAACTTGATCATGGTGAATGATTTCTTTAATGTATTGTTGGATTTGGTTTCCTAGTATTTTGTTGAGGATTTTTGCATCCATGCTCATCAAAGATATTGATTGGCCTGTACTTTTCTTTTTTGGTAGTGTCTTTATCTTGTTTTGGTATCAGGGTAATCTGACCTCATAGAATGAAATCTGGATGCTTTCCTTCAATTTTTTTAGAATACTTTCAGAAATATAGGTATGAACTCTTTTTTAAATGTTTGATAGAATTCACCTGTGAGGCCATGTGGTCCATGTGGTCTTGGACTTTTGTTTGTTGGGGAGGTGTTTGATTACTGATTCAATTTCACGGTGATAATTGGCATGTTCTATGTCTTCCTGATTTTCTATTTCTTCCTGATTCTGTTTTGGGATGTTCTATATTTCTAGGAATTGATCCATTTCTCCTAGGTTATTTGTTGGCATATGATTTTTCATAATATTCTCTTATAAACCTTTGTATTTCTGTGGTGTTGGTTGTTATTTCTTTTTCTGATTTGATTTTAGCTCTTTTTTTTTGGATGAGTGTAACTAAACGTTTATCAATTTTTGTGATCTTTTAAAAAAAACCAACTCTTGGATTTCATTGATCTGTTCTAATGTTCTTTCTAGTTTCTATATTATGTATTGCTGCTCTAATCATTATTACTTACTTCCTACTGCTAGTTTTGGATTTTATTGTTCTTTTTCTAGTTCCATTAAGTCTATAGGTGTAAGGTTGTTTGATATTTTTCTTCCTTCTGAGGTTAGCCTGTATAGCTAAAACCTTACCTCTTAGAACCACTTTTTGCTGCATCCCAAAGGTTTCAGACTGTTGTTTTCATTTATTTCCATGTATTTTTATTTCCTCCTTGATTTCATGGTTGAACCATTCATTGTTTAGTAGTACATTATATAACCTCCACGTGTTTGTGGTCTTTCCAGATTTTTTTCTTGTGGTTGGTTACTAGTTTCATAGCATTGTGGTCAGAAAAGATGCACAGTATGACTTTGATCTTTCTGAATTTGTTGAGGCTTGTCTTGTGGCCTAATATGTGATCTATTCTAGAGAATGTTCCATGTGCACTTGAAAGAATGTGTATTCTGCTGTTTTAGGATGAATATATCTGTTAGATCCATCTGGTCCAATGTGTCATTCAAAGTCACTGTTTCCTTGATGACTTTCTGTTTGAATAATGTATCCATCACTGTAAGTGGGGTATTATAGTCCCCTGCTATTATCATTCTATCGATTACTTCCCTTATGTTTGTTACTAGCTGCTTTGTGTATTTGGGTGTTCCCATGTTGGGTGCATAAATACTTATAATTGTTATGTCTTCTTGTTGGATTAGTCCCTTTGTGATTTTTGAATGTCCTTTGTCTCTTGTTACAGTCCGTTTTTTAAAGTCTATTTTGTCAGCTACAAGTATTGCTATTCTGGCTTGTTTTTCACTTCCATCTGCATGATACATGTTTTTTCATCCCTTCACTTGCAATCTGCATGTGCCTCTATGTCTGAAATGAGTCTCTTGCAGGCAGCATATAGATGGGTTTTGCTTTTTTATCCATTCCCTCACTCTGTCTTTTCATTGGAGTATTTAGTCCATTTACATTTAAAGTAATTATTGATAGGTGTACTAATTGGCCATTTTGTTACTTGCTTTATGGTTGGTTTTGTAGTTCTCTGTTCCTTTCTTGCTCTATTCTCACATGGTTTGTTGGCTTTCTGTAGTGATATACTTGGATTCCTTTCTCTTTATGTTTTGCATATGTATTCTGGTTTTTGATTTGTGGTTACCATTAGGTTTATAAATAACATCTTCTGCATATAGCAGTCTAATTTAAGTTGGTCACTTTAGTTTGAACTCACTCTTTACTCCTATCCCCCTACCCTCACATTTCAGGTATATAGTGTCATACTTTACATCTTTTTATTTTGTGAGCCCCTTGACTGATACTCATGAATAACTTATTTTTACTGCTTTTTGTGGTTCTTTCTTTTCTTGCTCCTTATGGTCTTTTCTGTCCACTCAGCAAATCCCCTTTAACATTTTCTGTAGGACTGGCTTAGTTGTCATAAATTTCTTTAACTTTTGTTTTTCTGGGAAACTCTTTATCTCTCCTTCTTCTGAATGATAGTCTTGCTGGATAGAGTATTCTTGGCTGCAATTTTTTTTTCCTTTCAGTACTTTGAATATATCATGCCACTCCCTTCTGGCCTGCAACCTTTCTACTAAAAAATCAGCTAGTATCCTTATGGGTTTTCCTTATATGTAACCATTTTCTCTTGCTGTTGTTAAAATTCTCTTTTCAGTGCCTGGTTGGCTCAGTTAAAAGAATCAGACTCTTGATTTTGGCACAAGTCCTGATCTCAGGGTAGTGGTCAGGCTCTACATTGAGCATGCTACCTGCTTAAAATTCTCTCTTCCTCTGCCCTTCCCCTCCTGCTCACATGCTATCTCTAAAAAATAATAAATAAAATTCTCTATCACTATTCTTCACCATATATTCTGTGTCTTGGTGTGGACCTCCTTGTTTTGATTTTGTTGGGGTCCCTCTGTGCCTCCTGGATCTTGATTTCTGTTTCCTTCCCCAGATTTGGGAAGTTTTCAGCTGTAATTTCTTCAAGTAAATTCTCTGCCCCCTTTTTTCTTTCTAGCTCCCTAGAATGCAAATGTTATTATCTTTGATGGTGACACTGAGTTCCCTATGTCTCTTTTCATTTTTATTCTCTCTCCTGTTCATTTTCTCCTGTTGATTGCTTTCCATTATCCTGTCCTCCAGATTGTCGATACATTCTGCTTCCTCTAGTCTATGTATTCCCTCTATATATTTTTAATTTCATTTATTGGGTTCTTCATTTCTGATTGGTTGGTTGTTTTCTGTCTCTTTGTTGAAGATATCACTGAGGTCCTCCACTCTTTTCACCAGTCCACTGAGTATCTATGACCATTACTTCAAATTCTACACCCGGGATATTGCTCTTCATTTTTGTTTAGGTCTTTCATTTGGAACACATTCCTCTCTCTCATTTTGTCTAGCCCTCTGTGTTGAAAAAGTCAGCAAGGCCTCCTGCTCTTGAAAGTAGTGGCCTTATGAAGAGGTCCTATAGTGCACTACAGTGTCCCCTGTTCACCAGAACCTGGCGCTTCAGGAGCATCTCTATGTTGTGTGTGAACTACTGTTGTGGATGAACTGTTTTTTGCCTTAAGCCCAGTGGTCTGCAATGGCTCTCTTTGCCTGCTGTGGGCAGGGTTTGGTCTCTATGGTGTTAGCCAATCTGGGCCTGCCTTGGGCTTGAGTTGAGTCAGACCAGGCATTTGCCAGAGATGCAGTAGCATCAAGCTGCAGGGTGTTTTTCCTGTGTTGTTCCTTAGGAAGCTTTTGTTGGTGGGTGGGGCCTGTAGTTAGACCAGATATCTGCCCCTAGCATACTGCTGGGGCTGCAGTTTGGGTATGTGTTATCATCTCCTTTCCCCAGGAAAGGAATCCCTTTTGACTAGTGCTGGTCCCTTCTAGGGCTGCTTGCACACTGCCAGGCTTGTGGCACCACTTTGGATGGGCTCTGGCCAAGATCATATTGGAGGGGGTTGATCAGCAGGAGAACTTGGTGCAGGCCACTTGGTTTTAGGAAAATTTATGCAAGTTTGCTGTGAGAAGGAACCTGGAGTGGAGGCCTGGCTGAAAGGGGCATGTCTTCAGGAGAACCTAGGAATGGTTGTACTGTTAACAAGTTAGGTTAGGTAGCATGTGTGGGCACTGTGCTTGTTCCCTCAGGTGTCTGTGTCTAGGCTGGGGAGCAGGGGAGGGAAATGGTGCCTACATGTTCCTTTGTTCTTGTCAGAGTCTCCCAATAATCTCTGTCCCTTCAGCACATGCTCTGAAATTAGTAAACCTCCCTCCCATATACTCCAGGCATTTTTCAAACTGCTGCTTCTATGCTGTATCTCCATGGGATGAGGTAAGCTTAGGGTCCTCCTCCTCCTCCATATTCCACAGAAGTCCCAATCACTTTTAAGTTAGGACTGCCAATGTGTCACTCAGACATCCCTTTGGGAAAATTGGGGTCATACATTCAGGCCAGGATTGCTAGACTGACCAGAGGGTTGTCAATTAACCAGTTTACTTAATCGTTTCATCATATTAATAATGCTTCTCCATTTGTGCAGTGTGTACCAATATACTCTCTATGAGCCACTGGGTTAAGTACTGAGGAGTTGGTCATTAAAAAAAAAAGGAAAGAAATAAATAAAAGAAGAACAGTGCCCCTGCACTTGAAAACCTCAGGGTCTGCTGGGGTGACAGATACACCATGACCACATGGGGAAAGCGAGGAGAGCATGGTAGAAGGGCACTTACCACTGTACCCGAAAGAGAACTATCCCTTATTGAGCACATACTAGGTCTGTCTTCAAACTTCTCAAGACCCTCATCCTCTTTACAGATAGGAAATTGAGAGGTAGGTAGTTTCTCCAGTCCTATAAGTGTCTTAGTGGCTGGTATTCAAATTCACATATTTTGACTACTCATGCTCTTTACAGAAATCCATGCCACCCAACCTCAGGGCATTTGTCTGAGCTGTGGAGGTGGTGGTTGGGATGACACAGCCTCTTCTCCTGACCCAGTTTAACCCAGGGATGCAGTCATGGAGGAGGAAGGTGACACACAAGCCTGCTGTATGAGTTGTCCTCATGCCTGTGTTTCCCATATGTCTGTCTTCCCTCAGCACCCAAATCAGCAGTCTTAGAAGAAATGCTTCACAACTTAGATTTCTGTGACATTCTGGTGCTTGGAGGGGACCTGGACCCAAGACAGGAGTGCTTGGAGCTCAACCACAGTGAGCTCCATCAGCGACACCTGGATGCCACCAACTCCACAGCAGGCTACTCCATCTATGGTGAGACCACACTCTGCCACATAACCTGGTGCTCTCCTCTCAGAGTGCCCTCATGCTGGAGTCATGAGTATGATGGTGCTCTGTCACCTGTGGAGAAGGGGTCAGGGTAGGGATCCTTGACCTCTGAGCATGAACTTCTAGCCTCTCCATCAGTGAGCTACTCCAGCATCTTGAGGACCTCTTCTGTAGAAAGTAGGTGCATGCTTTCTCTTATACTGTTTGACCTCAGCAAATTTCATAGCAGCATTTGACAGACTGAGGCCATTCTGGTCAGAGCCTAATGTATTTCAAAATCCCATGGGTCAGTTCAATTGGCTCCTTCTGTGTCCATACATTTGTCTGCCCCTACACAACTTTTCAAGTTCTTACCCTAGACAAATTCAAGAGAAGCGCAAGTCCCAGCAGCCACATCCTACCTCCTCCATCTTCTACCTTCTTATGACAGGGGTGGTCTCTTGGCACAGGTGTGGGCTCCATGAGCCGCTATGAACAGGTACTGCATCACATCCGCTACCGCAACTGGCATCCAGATTCCCTTGAGTCTCGGCGGTTCAGAATCAAGTGCTCAGAACTCAACGGGCGTTATACCAGCAATGAGTTCAACCTGGAGGTGAGTGGGTCCTGCCATCATTAGGGAATTTCAGAGTTATCACTTCTTCCTTGTTTGGGCCCACCTGCCACTCCTGGTCAGCAGCACCTCTCCTTGCTCTTCCTAGGTCAGCATCCTCCATGAGGCCAGAGTCTCAGACAAGGAGCACGTCAACCACCTTATTGTGCAGCCTCCATTCCTGCAGTCTGTCCACCACCCTGAGTCCCAGAGTAGCATCCAGCACAGTTCAGGTAGGTGGCCTGGGAGGAAGGACCTCAGGATATCAGGCAGTCATTGTGATTCAAGACCATCCACTAACAGGTATGGTGCAGCAGCCATAGGTGCCCAGAAATGAAAGAGGAACCCAGGACTGGAAAAGATGTGGGTCCTGCCTCTGAGATACTCACAGACTCAGTAGAGGTCTAGTCAGGGAAAGATTCACTATCTAGCATAACAGAGGTCAGTACAAAGGGCTAGGGTGAAGTCTTCCAAGTCTTGAGGCCTCAGAGCCACTTTCTCTGAGCCTCTTCATATGCAAGTGCACACATGGGCGTGCGCACACACATACACCTGCACACCTTACTTCAGTTCCAGTCTTGCCATTTGTATTACTGTCTGGTGAGCACTGTGTTAGTCCCTGTGAAATTCCACAGTGTCTGGCTCTCAGTGGAAGGCGCCCTAGAATTTGAGGGGGAAAGCAAAAGATAGAAGAGAACTTACATCAATCATTTGCTTTATTCCTCACAATTACCCATGGGGTGAGAATTATTCAATCCATTACAGAGATGAAGAAAATGAAGCCCAGACAGAGTAAGGTGCTGGCTCAGAGTTCCACAACTGAGAAGCTCAGTTAGGGCAGGTTTTAGCCTACACGTGGATGTTTCATTCATACTCCATCCCAAGACTGAGCTAGTCCTTCCGTTCACCACATCATGTGGATTCCTTCCTCGTTCCAGTGGTCCCAAGCATCGCCACAGTGGTCATCATCATCTCCGTATGCATGCTGGTGTTTGTCGTGGCCATGGGCGTGTACCGGGTCCGGATTGCCCACCAGCACTTCACCCAAGAGACGGAGGCTGCCAAGGAGGCGGAGATGGATTGGGACGACTCTGCGCTCACTATTACAGTCAACCCCATGGAGGTGATCCTCATATAGGGGCTGGGATCTTGGGGCAGGAGGCTTCCCCTCCATTAGCTCCATCTTCCCTGTGCTGGAAGCCCTGCCCCAACTAGCCCAGCCCCACTGACCCTTGCCTTCTCTGAGCACCTTCAGCCCACTCCACCTGCATGGACCATACTCTCCCACCAGCTGCATTCAGTGCTTAAAAATGTGTGAATTGCTCTCACCCTACAAACAGAACAAGACCTTTCTTAAGGCACACAGCCATGTGGTGTCTATCCCTTGCCTCCCCCATAGTATTTAACTCAGAGCTGACTAACACTTAAAGACTCAGTATTGAATTTTTGATTAACAGTGTAAATTAGATGGCTTTGCTCCATGCTGCCTACAGAGCTCACTTAAAGGCTCAGAATAGGTTAAAACAAAAATACAACAGCAATAGCTGCCCTTCATAGAGCCCCTCATCATGCCAGACACTGCATAGGGTGCTCTGTATACACCATCCCACTTCCCAAGGTAGGAACCAACTCCGAGAGAAAGTCAAAGTGCTCAAACTTATATAGCTGATAATGGCAGTGCCAATATTCAACTCAAGGTTGCCAGACCCTAATGTCATATTCAGTTAGCCAGTTGGAGGTTGCTACCTCCAACATCCACCCATGAGGGTCTAAGGCCCAGGTCTGGACATATGAATATCCAAGTACCCTGCGGGCTGCCCATGGGTCCTGGGTGGTGGTAGAGGCAGGACTAGAAAAGCAGGGGAAGATCAACAGTCACTGAGGAATGAAGATTCTCCCAGCTGGGTCCCCAAGATCCTCCTGAGTTGGCCTCATGCTCCAGTTTCATAGCCAGCAGGCTGATGCTCAGCTTCCTTCTCCTAGCACAGGTTGTACATAGAATGCTGTGTGCACTAGTTGGGGACACCAGCATTTCCACCTCAGAGAACTTGAGCCTCAGCTATGGGAAATAAGCCCCTGTGCCTGGATCAGAGTCCTGGGAGTGTTCTCACTGAGGGGCTAACCTGCTAATGCCAGCCATCAGTGAAGCATTAGTAGGGAGAGCCATTGAGGCTGGAGTGTTCAGGAAAGATTTCCCGCAGGAGGTTAGCCTAAGGGAGGCTTTGAAGAATGGGTTAGGGTGGGGGTGGGGTAAGGTAGAAAAGAAGCTGCTCCAGCGAGGGGATGCAACCACACAAGGGCACTTGCATCTTACGGCTGTTTCATTACCTTAAAACATAAATCCAGAACTAAGATTTTGCTAGAATCACCAAAAACCTGGCTGGGGGTAGGACAGGAATAGAACTGGAAAAGATGGTAAGGGGGGAGGCATGGAAAATGAGGACCATGAACTTTGTCCTTCCCAGAGGAATATTTCTGAGGAGCAACACACCTGAGTCTTGGCTTAGAAGACCTTCTGCTCCCAGCAAATATAATCTCACCTGGAAATGGGCTGTAAGTGTAAATGCCGTGCTCTTACTGAGAAGCAAACACCTAAGACTTAGCTCCATACAGACAGGTGCCAGGAATGCCAGAAAGCAAACTTTGGTCTGAAAGGCTCATTCAGTGATGGAAGGGACTGGCTTTGATGTCTTGTGTTTAAAACCCACCATTTACCTTGAGTCCAGGTCTTGGAATTCACTATTTCTTCTTCATCCTTAGCCCTCTGATATGCCTTTCACCAGAGGACCTCACATCCAGGACGCCTGTCCCCAGGCCCATGGGTTTAACATGAAGGGAAAGGAATTCAAGGGGCCTGAAATGTTCCCTTAGTGGAGGGAGAAACATTTAAGTTCCAAAGTGGGTTCTGCTCAACCCCTGATGAGCATGTCCCTTTTCTCCCTGACATCCAGAAACATGAAGAACCAGGGCGTGGGGAAGAGGAGACTGAGGAGGAGGAGGAAGAAGTGGAGGAAGACATGAGCTCCAGCAGCAGTGACTCAGAGGACAGCGAAGAGGAAGAGGAGGAGGAAGGGATGGGCAAGGGCAGACATGGGCAGAGTGGAGCCAGGCAAGCCCAGCTGGAGTGGGACGACTCTGCCCTGCCCTACTAGTGCCCAGCTGTCTGTGCCCACCCAGTGTCCCTTTTGTAAGCCCCACCTGATATACGCCTGAGTCTATCACCTGTCGCCTCTGATTTCTATGACAAGTCTGGGCAGGCCGTCCCCAGCGTCCTGGAAGTCACCCTTTATTCCTTGGGCACTCCCTAAGGAGGGTCCAAGAAGCCCAGGGTCATCATTAGTGGAGACTTCAGGGTGGACTTTGCCCTGTAGCCCCTACTTCTGCCCTGGACTCACCTAGCATCCTGTCAGCCAATCTGCAGAGTTCTGCCTTTGTTCTTCTCTGCAAGGAAGAAAGTCAGCCTTTATGTCACTCACCTCCCCCGGGCTCCCTGTGCCCAGGGCCCTTGGGTTCCATCTCACTGTGCGTGCACCTGACCCCGTCTCCTCTTCCACACAGACCAGCAGGTTCTTCTCACCTGACTTTTCAGGTGGCTTCACGTGGGCAAGGTGGTCAGACTTCACACGTAAGAGGTCTTCAGTCCTTAATACTCTAAAAGAAAGTCTTTGTTGAGGCAGATTTAACATATAGGGAAAGGTTCACATGCACGCACACCCACATGCGCACACACGCTCTCCCCAGTTTGGAGAGCCTTTCCCTTTGTCCTTTCTGAGGTCACATAAGCTTAGATGAAAAGTCCAAAACCAAGACTAGGTCTCTGGCCACAGCAGGGCCTGGGCCCCAGCCAAAGCTCTCTGTCAACCAGGCTGCCACCACATGACATCACAGGAACCAGCAAGCACTCCGCAGAGGTACTGCCTCAAGCAACAGTGTGACAAGCCTGCAGCCAGGAACCAGAAGGAAGGGCTGATAGGATGAGCAGCTGGGCACTATGGTGGGCACAGATCTGGGAGATGGGGGTGGCTGGGGTCTTCCCAGCCAGAGGGAAGCCAGAGGTGGACAAGGCTCTCAGCATCTAGTCTGAGGGTCCCTCATCACCTGTTTCACACTGTTTTGCCTTCTGAGCAAATTCATCCCTCTCCGATGTATTAGGACCAGCATGAACTGCACCAAATCTAAAATGAAAGTTTAGAGATTTGAATGTTAGGAATTAGGAGCATATCTGTGATAGTAACAGCTGCTGCTGTATTCTTCTAAAAGGAGCAGTGCTTTGGGTGGAGGGCAAATATATCTGAAAACCTAATTTTTTTCTTCTTGTTTCAATAAAATCTTTTCCACCTCCATCCTAACATGGACACCTTGTAAGGAGAGAACAGTTGCTATAGTAACTTGTCTGTGCTCTTTTGTGACCAGAGATTAGCAGGCAAAAACAGGGCCATTCTAGGACTTCCACAAGGCTCTGAGACTGTCTTTGTTTTGAATGTACAGACAAAGGATAAAGCCAGAGACAATCTGTCCCTGTCCTCCCACCCTCCCCCTGTTGTTCATCCCATACTGGCAAAGGCACAGAGCTGGCCCCTAGTCACAGGGGCATTCAGGTTCAAAAGTAAGTTGAGAATCTGTTCATTCTACTCACCATGTCACTAAAATAGAGTTTAAGGGGGACCATCATGAATGGCCTCTAGTTTGAGCTCCACCCAACGAGGATCCATGAGAGGCCCCTGCAAGCTTCTGATTGAAGAAAATTACCTGATGCAGCTTTTTCCACCATCAAAAGTGGTTTTTGCACTCTGTTCCCCCCCTTTGAGCCTCACCATAACTCTGTCAGGGAGTTGGGACACCTATTGTCAGGCCTATTTTGAGTAAACTGAAGTTCATAGCTTCAGCATCTTGTTCAGAGTCACTCAGAGGTAGAGACAAGACCAGACTTCCCACCTGCCACTCTTGGTCCAGTGCCCATAACCCTGCTTCTACTTATATTTATGCAGCTCACAAGCATTGTTGAGGACCTACTATGTGCTAAGCACTCAACCAGCAGCCCTAGGAAATGCTAAAGCTGAGTAAGATTGGGTGAATTCTCCCAACCAAAATGCTCTCTTCTATCAGGTTGTGTCTGCACAGCTACAAGGAGAAAATCTCTAACACTGCTTAGTCTTCATAATCCCTTTCATTAAATAAAAGATTCTCCAGTTGGGCATTTAGGAGCTAACAGAATTCTATCAAAATTATGGCAGTAAAAACCAAATTTATGGTTTAAAACCAATTTTTTGTTATTCGTAAGATTTGATGTTGCAAGTTTTTAAAATTCTAGTTAATATATAGTGTAATTAGTTTCAGGAGTAGAATTTAGTGATTCATCACTTATACCACCTGGTGCTCATCACAACCAGTGCTTTTTCAATTGGATTTACATTTAAAATATCTGAGTCTTTACACAGTCTTTTCAGTTTGGTTGGGGTGAGAAGGGGTTCCTCATGCCTTCCGGCCATCTCCAATGGCTGTATCACTTCTGGTTGAGGGAGCTAATTGGGCCCTAATTTAGGGATTATGGGGGTGGGGGGAGCAGGTGAAAGTGGCACTTGGCTAGGGATGCAGAGTTGAATCATTTGTGACTGGAAACAATGGGAACAACAAGTCAGGACCCTCTCCATCAACTCCTGTTGTGCCAAGTCACACTGTGTGTCAGCTCAAAAGACGAGACACTTGAAATACTGCTGGGTCAATGGGCATTTATCATGTTCCCAAAGCCGTACTCAACAAGGAGTGGTTATATAGAAGTAGCAGAAGCTTCAGAGACCATTCAGGTGAGTAGTGAGTAATTTAACTTGCTCTACACCAGATATTCTAATAAAGAGTGAAAAATGTCATCAATCAGCCCAGCATGTTCCAGGCTCCATATGCTGGTATCCAGGAACCAGAACTCCCAGATGGCCTGTACACCATGCAGCCTCTCATCCAGACATCAGAGGCAGCAGGTGCAGGCTCATACCCCAGAGGAACAGCTGACCAGTTTGGCCACAGGCCAGACCATTGCTTATCTTGCCAAGAGGATGACCAGATTTTGCTCTCTGGAGCTGGGAAAGAGATAGGCTGAAACCTCTCAAGTGACTCAGGTGACAGGGAGGGGGAAGAAGAGGAGGTTGAAATGGAATAGGCCAATACAGACTGAGCTGCCCAATGGAGTAAAGCAATCAACTAGTTGGTCAGCTGTCTTAATACCAAAAGTAACTCTAGTAGGTTAATCAAATATTTTGAATTTGACCAAGGCCCAAATATAAGTAGGTAACAAACATATGATTTCAGGGGATCTTATTTCATTATCATTTTCTTAAATGTTCTCAATCCTATCAAGCAGGGTTTAGACTACACAACTCTGCAGGTAGCAAGAGCTATACCTAGTGGACACAGATCCTCCAGGAAGAGGGCTCCTAGTGGGAAGCAATGTCCTCCATGCCGGTACATACAGCAGATGTCAGCAAACTTTATCTGGAAAGAGCCAGATAGTAAATATTTTAGGCTTTGCAGGCCATATGGTCTCTGTTGCAAGTAACTCTAGCACTGTCACATGAAATAAGCCACAGACAATACATAAATGAATGGATATGGCTATGTTCCAAAAAAAATTATTTATGAATACTAAAAGAGCAATTTGAATTCATATTTTTACATATCATGAAATTTTATTACTCTTTCGATTTTTACTTTCAACCATTTAAAATTTTAAAAACTCTTCTGAGCCCATGGGCCATACAAAACCCAGCAGCCTGCCTGATTTGGCCTTGGGTCACAGTTTGCATACCTCTACCATACATTCAAGGAAAGCAGCCCTTCTATTTACCAAGAGAAAGTAAATTGCTATCTTAGACCCTTCCTCATCCACCCAGGGGTCTTTGCCTCCAAAATGAACTACAAACAACTCCACAGCCCTTAATTAAGTTTTAAATGTTCATGTCCCAGCAAGAAAATGACAACAAAAAAACACCTGCTACCCGTCAAATGGACTTGAACGCAGATAAGCATTCATCAAGAACTCCAAGCCCTGAGTGCCCAAACTGACTGACCACTGAGTGCTAACCCCCTTGAGCTCAGGGACAACTCCCAGGCACAGCGCCTTCCCAGCATGACTCAGCCCATAATGATTTCTAAGCAGGGGTGTTCATTATCTCAGACTGATTTCCATTTCGGCTCTATTCATGCCATTGCTCTAAAAATGATCCTAAAGACTTTTGACTGTTTGAATCAATAGCAACATAATCAGTAGAAAGCCCTACCCAGCACATTTCAAAATTAGCACTCTTCATGGCTCTATAATTCAATATTAGCAAGAGGAAGAAAAGAGGACTTTTTCTTAATCATCCTCTCATTGAAATTAACTAATCAGTTTTACCAAAAAAAGTGAGGGCATGAGTTTAATTCTTTGAAAGAATTTACAAGTGAAAAGTAGATGGTTTTCAGGTAGGATCATTCTCGGGCCTTTGGGGTATCCACAAAGCCCCCGTGAAATACTCTGGAGGGCTACGGACGGTACAGGATCCTCTATCTGCATCAGACTTTTATCGAGGCTGACAAGCCAAAGCCCTTGGCACAATTTAATTTTCATGTAATCACTTTCTGCTGCCCAGCTGTAGGCAAAGGAAATGAACAGTGAAAGTTTTAAAGTCTACTCCAGCACTTTCATTTCCCGCCTTTATTTACTTTATTTTATAAATTTATTCTGTACCTACTCTATAGATCTTGCTCCAGTTTTCCTTTTGGCACCAACTACAAAGGGAAGTTGGCTTTACAAGGGCTGTGGACTAGAAGTCAAACTTGACTCTATCCCAGGAAGGTACAAAGAGACACAAGAAGTTATCTCCACCAGCACCCCAGAAAGCAATCAGACATTCCCTGGATGCCATTAGTGAACAGATGGGATTCTGTGTTTGCAGCTACGTTCAATGTAATTCAGCAAATCCTTGCTGAGTACCCATGGTGTGCCAGGCCCCGTGCCAGAAATGAGGGAATGGTGGATGAATGAGGTGTGGCCCTGCCCAGGGGGGTCTCTCGGTCTCATGAACTGTTGGCAGACTTCCTTTGTGAGAGCAGTGGAGACTGATGCAGACAGAAGTTTGGAGTTGGGAGAAGGGAGTAACTTGCTCTGGCAGTTCTCCACCCTAAGTTACATGGCAGGTGTGATTCTGGGAGCCCTCACACACATTGCCAAGGCCAGCGGAGGAGAGCACCAGGGAGGCAGGCAGTGCTTTCTACATGTTCCTAATTCTTCCCCAGCCTGACACTGGTCACTTATGGATGAAAGCAAGTCACCCTGCCCACAAGGTGGATATCACGTAGCTGATGACTGAGAATCAGTGAAACTACAAAGGAAGTTCTTTAGTATGAATAGCAGGCAGGCAGACCTGGAAAGTAAGCCAGATACAGGGGCTGGTATGAAAAGCATGACATGAGGGAAGACCTCTGAGGCCTGAAGTCAGAGCTGAAGAGGGAAGAAGGGCTTAACTTTGCTAAGGGCCACAGGACACTGTAGAGCAGAGATTCCCAAGGAGCACCCTGGACCAGAGCATCAGCTAGGGATGAGTGAGAAATGCAAATACACAAGATCCACCCAAGAGCTACTGCATCAGAAACCACGGGTGGCGCCCAGTGGTGTGTGTTTCAAGGCTCTCAAATCCTGATGCACTCTAAGGTTTGAAAACCACAGATGTGGAGGATGAGAATAATTTTCACTGGCACTGGGAGGAGATGATTAATAGGATAAGAGAGTCAATTACTAGTGAGAAGAGGAGTCAAAGCAGACCATTCTATGAACCCTGTATGGCCCTCTAGACTCTAGTCCATACTCCCTGAAGCAGTGATATTTTTTAAAAAGATTTTATTAATTTGTGAGACAGAGAGAGAGAGGCAGAGACATAGGCAGAGAGAGAAGCAGGCTCCATGCAGGGAGCCTAATGTGGGACCTGATCCTGGGACTCCAGGATCATGCCCTAGGCTGAAGGCAGACAGTCAACCGCTGAGCCACCCAGGCATCCCTGAAGCAGTGATTTTAAGGAACCTTGGGCCACGTCCCAACTCCACTCCTCCTCTAGGGCATGATCCATCTCCTGCTGGTCTGGCCCCTTTAATCCTAGAGAGACACATAGTCTAGGGGAGGCTGTAGTGAGGCCACCCATCCCTAAGGAGGCTGCCTTCCAGATTCCCATAGATAAGCAGCCTCCTGAAGGGCCATGTATTAGAGGAAATGATTAAACTGTAGCAGTGTCCTTACATCACCAGGAGAACTGGTCCCCACAGAGCATCTATGCTGTGGAACCACCAGGGCCTACAGAGAGTGGCTTGGGGTCATCCA